AGCCCTAAAGACCAGTATTAGCAATCATTGAGGCTTCTATAGATTCGAAGGCTTTATAAGGTTTGAATTTGGACTGTTGGGGTGTGGAGCTTGGCATGATTTGGGCTTCTAGTGCTTTTGTTTCAACGCTCTGGGTTTGGGCTTCAGCGTATAGGGGCTGAGGGTGTAGGGCACAGGGCTTCTGCATCCAGGATACCCAGTAACCTAAGAATAAAAAGGCCTCTCTTTTTGGTATTGGGTAACTTTATATATAAGGAACCTAGGACTACAAAAAGGGAATAAGGGTACTACTGGGCATCCTAGGCATTTGAGAGTGTGGAAATTGAAGAGCTCAGCTTTTTTGGAGTCCTCAGTGCCACACGTTCGTGGGTCGCACAGTTAGGAACTCCTTTCATGGCACGTGCCTAGCCATACATTACTTGGAGGTTCATGGGTAGTTATAAGTAGGGTTATAAGTCCCTTCATATGAGTTATAAGTATAGTTATCCTACTTATGACCCCAGTTATAACTACCCATGAACCTCCAAGTATACATGTCCCATCCTTAAACCCCTGAACCCCTTTAGACCCTAACTCCGGACTTTACAGGCTGCCCTTGAAATCTGCCCATTCGTGAATCCACTCAACCATTGACAAACCACAAATCCAAATCTTGGAACCCCAATCCTTGAGGGTGTTCTTACGGCCATCCTCCGTCCCTCCCTCCCTCCCTCCCTCTGACTTTCCTTAGTGTCCCGTTTCGTGTTTGGGGTTTACAGCTCCTTCCTGTCTCACTTTTCTCAGGCACTGTCTGGCTAATTTGTGTTCCTGTCGCTCTTCCATCTCCCGCTCTCTAGCTCCCTGTCCCTGTTATGCTCTCCCCCTTTTCCTCAACACTGCCACATTCATCATTGTAGCTTTTACCTGGTGGTTTGGGGCTTGAAGCCTTCAGCCCTAAGCCCCAACCCAAGGCTTTAGCCCGTTTTGGCTTGGAGCTTAGGTCTTATGGCTGTGGTCACTTCTGAGTGCATCCTGACGGACAATAAATCTCAGGCAAGGGGTTTCCTCTTGGGTGCTCAACCTAGTCAGGGAGGGGCCCTAGTATAATTTATGGTCTCAGGCTTAGGGACAAAATGGTTAGGGAATAGGGAATAGGGTATGGCAAAGGGTATGTCGGAGCATTTTCTCACAATCCAGTGCTGCCACAAGACAGGCCGTCCGCACTACGTTGCATGCCTGCGCGCATTCGCTAGGGCCAAGCCCTGACATGCAACCCTAACGCCTAGTCTCCAAACCCTGAAACCAAAACCCACGAGGGTGCAGTACTAAACCCCGGCATCAAAACCGCTGCAATCCTCAATCAAACCATCCTACAGCCTAACTCTACGAATCTGCAGTGTTCGGCAGCACATCAGCTAAGCTCGGAGGTCTGCTCACATCCTTCGCCGAAGTTTGCTAATTACTCTGATGTTTAAGGTTCAGAGTGCAGGGGCGTAAGGAGAAGATGAGTTATTGCTGGATACTTAGTAGCTATCGTGATGCTGATTGTGACCGAAAGCCGTCTTCTTGCTGACAGTGTGATCGATAGCATGCCCAGGCTTCTGTTACTACAGCTGGTACTGTGATGAACGTAACGGATAATAGTTATAGCCATCCAGACTGTCGTCGCGCCCACTGTTGTGTGCTGCTGGTGTGTCTGTTGCTGCTAGTGACTTAGTAGTGAGATAGTACACATTCTCATGGCATTGGCCAGGACTTCGATACTGTTGTTGCCCTGAGTAATGAAGTCTCGTCATTTCTGACTATGGCCACTGGTACGCATTACACGTGTTATGGTTGTGGTCATGGCTATTGCAGTGATTGCCGCGCATACTCACCGTGATTCTCGGCATTACAGCCCCATGTTTGCAACTCTGTCGGAACGATCACCGCGGTCATAAGCCACAGTTTTGCGATCAGCATCCACATTTGTGATGCTGCCCTAGCTGTATAGAGTGTAATGGGATTATCCTGCTTCTCATGCTCGCTGGTCCTTCATGATAGCTGCACTGTAGGCTTAAATTGCGACTGAAGGATAGTGAGGAGTGATATGTTGACCGATTGCTCATAGGATGCTGATGTGCTCCCGTGACATCTAGGCCGGTTGGCCGCAGGTGAGCTCCACTTTTGAGCAATATCTAAACGGTGGCCAAGCCCTAAGTCCAATTTCCAAAACAAACACTCCAGAATCCAGCAAACAGTAGGGCTCGCCCGGCCCTCCAAGGACTTTCGGCAGGAGTTTCTGAATAGGCTCCACTCACTACATTGCTTGTGCTCTTCTTTACTTATCATTTTTCCTTCGGAAACTCGGTTTAGGTCTCCAGCATTTCCGGGTATCGCCTTAGGCGTTCCCCGAGCAGACATTGCTCATAGCTGACAAAACAGTCGAACCAGTAGGGACAGGTGTACGGATTGATGTTTGGGATTGGGGTTTAGGGTTTATAAGGATTAACGGCGTCGGGGTACGGTAAGCTTTCGAGGTTGTAAGGGCCGATGTAAAGGATTAAGGAAGCACAGGCTACTGGTGTTCCACTCACAGCATTTCTATGATTTAGGGAGCTGAGCCGGGGTGCATAGACTTTTATGTACTTGACGAAAGAACATGTTGCGGTGTAGGTTTAGGGCTTTACGGTGTAGACCATGCTGCCCGGAGAATGATCGTAGGATCAGGGTTTGCAGAACAGACCTGATACCCTAAAACAGAAATTTTCACACCCGAAATCACTATAACGCTACAAAAGAACCCCTTAGATCTGGAGGTCCAAAACCCGGATGCCCGAGCTCGGTTGAACCCGCAGCTGCCCGATCCACCAAAACTACACGAACGGACAGGGTTTACAAAGCCCCCAACCCTAAACGCCTCTATAAAGCCGAACCCCTCGAAACCTTTTGGTTTCCCGATGGTCTGTTAAACAGATCCTTGCGTAGATCTCGCCCGGATCATCTGCAGTGACTTCCTGCATAAGCCTGAAGCCCGGTATAACACCCAAGTTGAACCCTGCAAACATCCCAACAAAGCCTCATACCACCCCATGAACCTGTTGCATAAACTCTCAAAAAATGTGAAGCTCTTTAACGACCTATCAAAGGCTTGTGTGGCAATCGTCTGCTAAGGCTGGCTCGGCACGGGCGGTGTCGGGTTCGCCCGGCAAGCTGTGCAGGCTACAACCAAACAGCAACAAGGTTGGTATGCGACTCCAAACTTGCAAAAGCCTACAAAGGGGGAGTCGGATGTTGATGGTGCGGTTCTGCTTTAGCGCATAGTGGCCTTAGGGTTTATAGGTTTAACAGTCTGAAGGGTTTCGGGCATTGGGGCTAGACCAAAGTTGTCAATGTTCGGGTTTTGGGCGGCGGCGGAATACGGCTTTGGGGAGGCAGCATATATGTATTCGAGCCCCAATTCCTAAACCCCCGGACAAATAGCAGGGATTGTGGAAGAAGGACACTGGTACTAATTTTCAACCCAACCAATTACCAAACCTTGCAGCTCGAAGAGAGGGATCGGAATAGTTACACAAGGTATTCCTTAGTGCCTTAGTGACTAAGTTTTTCGTATCACCAGTCACAGCTACATGGAACCCTAAGCCCGGAATCTTAAACCCGAGCCCGAAACCCTGAAACCCAACCCCTGAAACTAAACCTAAGCCTGAAACCGTGCTCATGTACGGGTTGCTATGTGTAGGCTACAATCACGGCTCTAAGCGAATGTAGGATTTGAAGTTTGGGGGGGGATTGGTAGTTCAGGGTTTAGGGCTCAAGGCTTTTGACCTGGAGTTTAGGCTTATGGATAGGGCCAGGGGTTTCGAGGGCCTTCCGAAGTCCAGTGACTTGAGCCCGCTCAAGCTTGCAACGCCACTTTCGCCAAGCTCGGTATATGTGCAGGAGAAGACCCGTGCAGTATGAGCTGGAGCAAAGTCTAGTTCATAGTCGGGATAGGATTTAAAATGTACATTCTCTTATTCCTTCTTGGGTTTAAAGTTTAAGTACCCATAAAAATGTAAAAAATGTGACCCAACTATGAGAAAGAAGTTGTCAGGGCACAGCTCCGAAACCCAATGCTCAGAGTCTACCTATAGTCTCCATTCTAGTTTCTTTTTGGGGTTACCTTTTAGGAACCTTCATATAGCATTGGTTAAACCCCAAAAAAAGGAACTACAATGGAGACTATAGGTATAAACGGCCTCAGCCCTAGACCCCTGCACGCTTCACCCTGGCATGGAGCCCGACATCCCCTGAGCCCACCACGGCCCTTCTATGAAAGCTTGAATGATTGCCAAGATCGTTCCTGAGGCGTCCCAAAAATATGTAACCCTACTGACTAAACCACAGCCCTACAGTCTTTCATTAACTTCGAGGATCAGTGCCAAGGCTTTGCCACCACTCAAAAAACTTCAGGTCCCCCTAGCGAGCTCTCTGGCTCCTAAGGACAGTGACACAGAAGGCTCGCAGGCGAGATGCTGAGCAGAAGAGGAATGAAAAAGGGAGCTGGGGTAAGATAGGAGCAACAACAGCAGTAGACACAGCAAGGGTCAAAGCAGTGTAGTAGTACCAACCAATAGCCATCCTAGTCATCCTAGTCATGTTGATTGCGAAAAACCCTGTGTTTCCATGCGGTCTCGAACTCTTTAAGCTGCTCTGCATGCTAATAGTGATGCCCGCACCTTTCTGACCAAGCTCTAGGCAGCTCACTCAAAAGCCATAAACCTTCAAACCCTGAACCTTCCTCAGCAGCCAAACCACGCTGGATGACGGACTAGGAAGGCTGATAGTAAATCCCCGGAAACCTGACATTTCCTTCGCACGGTCATCCCTAACTACAGCATACATGCCAAATGTAAAAGATATCAAACCCGAAGACTTGCACACCCAGGCGGCCCACACACACCCTGAACCATATACCCAAGCCATAATCGCCAGCGCCAGACTCCAAAAGCCCTAGACATCAAAGGCCCTGAATCACGTCTCTGCCCAGGCCGATCCCATCAGCGGGACAGCAGCGCTTTTGCCGCGCTCACTTGCGTGGCCGGTCGACCACCAGTACCCAGACCTGAAAGGATTTAGCAACGCCTTTTCGGAGGTTTTCTCTAGACCCTGACCCAGGAGTTTCCGAAAAGAGGGGAGCCTGATATGGTACATTATAAAAAGTAGGATCCTTATTATAAGGACCCCAAAATAAGGTACCCCTTATTTTCGGAAACTCCCATATGCCACGAGTGACGGCCCGAAAGATTCGGGCTGAGGGGTCTGAGACTTGGAACTGCGAGTTGAATTCTAACACAGGCCTTGATAGCAAGTCTACCTATCTGTGTACAACCGGGTTTTTTCCTGAGTCTCACTCTATCTCTGTGTCTCTTTATGTCGCTATCTCTACATCTCTGTAGTTATCTTTCTGTGGATCTCTCTATCTCTCTCTTTCTCTTCTCCGGCGGGGCATGCAAGGTGGTCGACGCCACCGGCCGCAAAGGCACCCCCATGTTTATGGTGCCTCTCCCTCTCCCTCTCCCTCTCCCTCTCGCTCTCGCTCTCGCTCTCGCTCTCGCTCTCGCTCTCGCTCTCTCTCTCTCTCTCTCTCTCTCTCTCTCTCTCTCTCTCTCTCTCTCTCTCTCTCTCTCTCTCTCTCTCTCTCTCTCTCTCTCTCTCTCTCAGTCTTAATTACTGTCTATCCTATCTATCTATCTATCTATCTTTACTTCTCCTCACCTCTCCTCTCCTGTCGCCTCCCTCTCTCTCTCTCCCTCTCTCGCTGTATGTCTCTCTGTCTCCCCCTGTCTCACTCACTCTCACGCTATCTGTCTCCCTCCCTCCCTCCCTCCCAGGCAGTCAGTCGGTCAGTCAGTCAGTCTACCCATCTATTTTGTCTGCCTACAGACCTATATATCTACCTACCTCCGCATGCACATAGGCATGCATTTACGTGCGTAGGCTTGTACGTACGTGCGTATGTACGCATGCATGCATTGATGTATGAGTGTATGTATGCGTGTGTGTGTGTGTGTGTGTGTGTGTATATATATGTGTATGTGTAGGTACATACTCTTGCAGGCATGTGTGCCTGCTATCCGAACGTCCCCTCTTGATATGTTTCGTCGAGGCTCGCGAACCGGTCGCCATACGCGGAGCCGCTGTGGCAGGTGCAGCCCCTGCTCGCTTGCAGGAGCTGTGAAAAGTCGGATGTAGGGCGGCCCAAAACCCCAATCAAGGGCTTGTATTTTCATGTAGAAGCCAGTAATAAGGAGGCCTAATATGTAGGTTTCAGCGGCTACAGGTAAGGATTGAGCACTGGAAAAAACACAATCTAGAGCCACTCAGCTGGCAAAGATAAGAGTTTGGACTGATCGAAAAGCCTGACATCCTACATGCTGACACTCTAAATGGGCCCTTGTATAGGGGCCTTGGTAATCAGCCAGTTTACGCTTCTGCGCCATACTTCAGTATAGATATGGTCAGGAATCAGTAGTATATTGACAAGTATTCAGCGATAAACTAATGCATGTAGAACGACAGCCTTTTGCAGGTGTTGGGCGATGATATTTACCTACTCAGGTAAGGCCTAAACCCCCAAATATGAACAACCCATACTTTGGGGAGTTTAGGTTATCCCAAACCCTGAAGCCTAAACCCCTAAACCCTAAACCCCTACCTGGAGCCCCCAACTACCCTCTAACATACCCTAAATACCCACTATTATAAGGACCATAAGGGCTTTATTAAAGGGTACTTGGGGGGTCCTGGTAAACCCTAAACCCTAAACCCCTAAACCCTAAACCCCTAAACCCCTATAATCCCCAAACCCCTAAACCCTCAACCCTAAACCCAGACCGCTAAACCCGGCCTCCATTGGCCATCTCCCAGGGGGCAGGGCCCAAGGTTGCGTTGAAGACCTCCGGCTCTACTTCGAAGTTCGGAGCCCTGGTTGAGGCATCCGCCGAAAAATCGGGGGCCCTTTATAATCAATGGTTGAAACTACGGGCCCTTAGTACCACTATGGGCCCTTAACCTTGGGATCCTTTTCTACATACTATGTACCCTATATAGACTCTTACGGATCCCTAGAACCCCCCCTGGGGGGAGGGGGCCCATACATCCAACCTTGGATAAAATCGGAGGAGGGGCTTGAGGGTATACTGCACTGTAGTTCTATAGGTTGTTAATACGGAGCTCTAAGGCCCCCCCAAGAACTCCTCGGTATTTATTCAGGCTTCCAAAAATTTCAAACTGCCTCGCATTGTCTACAGAGCTTTGCTTACTGCTCAGGCGCTTCTTGCTGAATCGGCCTTCCTCCGGAAGTGACCTCAGAAACGGTCCCAAGCTCTAAAACGCGGCCACGACCGTCAAGCCGCAAGAAGTAGATTGTAGAGCTGCAGGCAGAGAGAGATGGGCTGGCCCTCCGTTCCCTCTTGATTGGTGTTGGCCCCCTTGACCTGTCTTAGCTGCGAGCTTCTGGCAAGAAGGAACAGATTGCAGGCCCGCCACAAGGATCTGGGAGTTTCCGAAAATAGGGGACCCTAATATAGTACCCTAAATAGTAGGATCCTTATTATAAGGACCCCAAAATAAGGTACCCCTATTTTTGGAAACTCCCATCTCTGGCAGGCGAAGAGGCAAAGGACCGAGGGTTTGTGGCACGGACAGACTACCCGTGCCAAGCTCGCTCCACACAGCCTCGCGCAACTTCGGAAGTGTTGCTTCCCACTCCGACGGAGTCATCATGTGGGAGTTTCCGATAATTAGGGGTACCTTTTTGGGGGTGCTTGTAACGGTGATACTACTATTTAGGGTATTCTATTAGGGTGCCCTATTTTCGGAAACTCCCACGTGCTTGAGAGTCGGCATCCCCGATCCTCGCGGGAACCGTGTGAACCGGATCCTGGCCTCCTCGACATCGAAGCAATCGGTCTGCCCATCAAGGAAAAGGCTGATGTCTACCTGTAGTCTCCATTGCAGTTCCTTTTTCTGGCTAACCAAAAACTCTATTATAGGATCCTAACCGTAAAATTGGTTAACAAAAAACGAACTACAATTCAGACTATAGGTACCATCTCTCTGGAAGATGTCACCGACATCTACTGTAGCGTCTATTCCCAGATTGCGAAGAAGATGCTGGGGCAGAGGAGGCCAGGCGGAAACGACGGGCAGCCTTTGCAGCTGCAGCGCGGTCCACCGAGAGGCCCGCATCGCAAGGCTGCATGCCTGAGGCTTCGGGATCTTCTGTAAAGCCAAGAAGGTAGCGACCTCCCTGCTCAAACCTGTCAGGAATACCGACCATATGGACGTCCCCTCGAGCCTGACCACCAGAGGACCTTTTCAAGCCCAAGCGAGCCCCTGGGGCGACCTGCTCATCAGAGGCTTGTTGAGTGCTCTTTTGGGCTAGATCGAGGAACTGATGGGTGGCGTTGTCGTCCGGAAGCAAATCCAGGAAGGACATCCCAAAGACATCCCTGTCATGTCGTGCGATGAAGGAGCGACGCCAAGCTCGTTGCTCGGTCTCGGATCCGAAACTGGCTGCCAAGCAGTATGTCCGCATCCATAGAGCATCGCACGATATGTCTGAAAGCCTGCAGAGCCTCTTGCGCGTCAAGTTCAGATATCATATTGACTCGGCGCAGCTGTTCGACTGCCACAACGAGACATATTGAAGTCAAACACCGGGAACCGATGCCAAGGAAGTTGCCAAGCAAGCTGGAGCACCGATCCATGAGTCAGCTACAAATATCACTACGAACGGCAGGCTGACTATCTTGACGGATAGGGAGGCCTCTCCGCAACCAACCGCAACCAAGACATCCAGCTGGTCGCCATCACTTTGCCGCGCATCGCTCCAAGCTGGGAGCAATGTGCGAGGAAGTTCACCGCCATCACTGAGAAAAGCATCGGGCGTATCCTCCAGAGGGACAGACGGAGGCCACTGAACATGATCTCATGGCTGTGTGCATTCAGCAGGCCGAAGAGTAGCAGCCGGGACAGGGAGCATGACAGACAAGGGTGACCAATATGCATAGCTGATGCACTCCAGACATTCAGCGCCGGTGTGAGCTCTTCGACCTTCGGATCCCGGTACGACATGGAAACAAGGACTACCTTCTGCAACACGGTAGACCATGCATGGGCATCGCCTGTGACGGTCTCTCCGGCCAAAGAATAAAAAGATAACAGCAACGACACTGGGCGAAAAAGACGGCCATGGCAAAAACTCTTGATAAGCAAAGCACAGCCCTATCGGAAGCTTCGCGCTAAGGCTCAGGGTTCAGGATGAGCCTTGAACACATGTGGCGAGCGGTTGCGGACGTCAATCTGCTGGCACGTGCAGTGGAGCGAGATCCGATCCTAAACCTTTGAGATGTCTGCGAGGACCCAGCCGGTGCTTGCCCAGATCTGCTCGGAGGCGGCCTGCGCGTGGCTCTTTCTGCAAGAAGAGGGGGCTAATGAATTGGACTATGGGATTTTCATGCGACCAGGGTTTCTATGCAAATTCTTTTTCATTCTTTGATGGCCTCTAGACGGGCGCTGAGAAGATGTCTATAAAGGGCCTGTCGGCAAGGGTGATTTTCGGTAGTGTTTCGAGCCCAGTTAGTTAGGGCTTGTGGTAAGGGCTCTACACGGGCAATAGGGGGGTTTATGCAGCTTGTTCTGTGGGTATCGGGTGCTTGCAGTCAGTCGGCAAAGCCTATAGATGTTGGTTGGAAGGGCGTAATTACTTTAGGAGCACAATACGGTGCCTTAATGATCAGACTGGGGCTTGTGGCACATTGTAGTCCTAATAATACTAAGCAGCCAGAAGGAAAACTATTGTTACAGCCAGAAAGAATACTGTTGTTAACCAATTCAGGGCCCTGTGTGTGAAAACTGAGGAGGTTTGGGGGCAGCGAGGTATCCCAAGGCTTTGTTGTTGCTTGGTTGTGTTAAGGTTTGTAGGGTAAGCTGCAACCTGTTTCTAATTCTGGGCTCAGGCTTCAAGGTAGTTGAATATATGTCGATGCTGCTGCCCCTCATTACGCTAAAAGTGCCACCCTCGCAGCAACACTAAAGCCCAAAACCCTAGCACCCCTAGATCCCAAACGCCCTTGAGCCTAGCCCAGTAAACCCTTGCACACTAAATAGCCCGTAAACCCTAAACCCGCCAAACCAGCACTCATGCTCCATTCTTGTATAGTCTCCAAATGTATACCATAGTAAGATCTCAGCCTATCTCTAAGTCGGCGAGTATCATCGACCCCGCCACCATGCTTGCGTGAGCAAAACACACAAAACCCGAAATCCTAAACCCAAGCTTCGACGGTGTCGGCTTTCGCTGAGGGCTTGAGTTCAGGGTTCAGATTTATTTGAGGCACATGAATACAATGTAGTATGATATAATGATGTCATATTCTACAAGGTATTGTAGAATAAGACACCATGGGATAGGATAGTGCACCATAGTACAGTATAGTATAGTATAATATAGCATAGCATAGGATGAGATGATACAAGATATGATTATGATTCCGATGAAATGTTGTCATTTACCAATCAGGCGCATAACACATCGTAACATAACAAGACGTGCCATGACATATAGCATATTGTTTAGCACAATAACATGTATTCCATAATACCTAGACACGGTATACCATTAGTAGTATGAGCATCTCGGTTCTAAAAGAATATATATATATATATATATACATATACATATACATATATATATGCACACACACACACACCACGCACACACAATCTAACGTACGAAACATACTACGTTGTGCAATGTAAGAAAATCGCAACATCTAGTCTAACATTCAGTATGCTGCTGCGTATGCAACCTACAATTATTAATATGACATCGTAAAATTGCAATCTAACCCAATCAAATATGGTGAGCATCAGCTCAGTGGCATTTGTGTCGTCCCTTTTTGATCTTGGTTGCTCTAGGCATGACTTTCCCAGGAGGGAAAGTGTTTACTGGCAAGCATTGTATTGAGACGATCGTTAATCAGCAACGAGTTTCGACTGCTGTCCATGTGTACCACAGCTATGATGTTCACGAATGACGGCTCGATCGAAGCGCAAGCATGTCCGGGTGTGATGTGGGAGTGCAACAATTCTTCCCGGCCCGGCATGGACCCGTCCGACCGAGTGCATGGCAGGTTTGGGCAGATACTTCAGTCCTCTTGAATATTGAACTGAGTAGTGCTCAAGCCAAACTTCCAAAGATGAGCGGCCTAGACTAACCGGGCCCTGAAATCGCGAAGTGGCTCCGAATAGATCATCTGATTGACTTGTCAGAACCTGTTGGTCAACTGTCTATCAGACTTCCGATAACCTACTTCTCAGTTGCCCAGCCTGCCAACGGGCGCCGTTGACAGCCTTTGGGATGTCGGCTCTAGTGTGTCTGTGTGTGTGTGTGTGTGCATGTGTGCGTGGCTTTCTTATGGTCACACTTCCTGCGAGCTTCAGAGCAGAGACAATATTCTGTCGCGGTGATGGGGGAGGAAACTCTGTGAACCTCCGCAGAATCGGATCTGCTGGCTGTTGTTATTCCAAATCTCGTGGAGTTGCTGCTGTTGTTTGTTACGCGTTCTTCTTGATCTGTGCGCACTGGGACTCACATCTGACCAGCGGCATATGTCTTCGGCATTGGGGAACTAGCAAAGTCTATAAAGTATGGGATCCATCATGTAGCTCCGATGTGCAGAATCTTGGTATGAGAACGATGAGCTCAAGAGCCCAACACTACGACGCCCAGGCTGACACAACCCAAGCGCTCATTCGATAGTCTACGCTTTGTTCCAATGTCCTTCAAATTTTGCGCCCTCAACCCTTCGCCCCACTCTGCTAGAACCTCTTGAGCTTCTCATCTGCCTACGGTTTCTTTTCATCCAGTGGAGCGGACGAGGTGTCATCGCCGCAGGCTTTAGGTCTAAGATGGCTAAGAGCTTCCGAGACCCAGGGGAGAGAAGTCCAACGACGAAAACTTTCAACCTGCGAAATGTGAACGACAGCCGAGGGTGATGCATGTCGTTGGATGCAGGCACGGGCGAACGCGGAGGTGCCTGATCAGTGTATAAATATAAATAAATGAATGAATATATATATATATATATATATATAGTCGCAATCAACATGACCATTGGCGACAATAGCAGCCGCAACAGCAGCCAGCATGACAATTATCATCATCATAACCATCATGACCATCAGAATCATCATAATCACCCTACAACCATAAACGTGACAGCTAGTAGTCATCATGTGCATCACGATCTTCATAACCAGTACTGTATGATAACAAAGTTTCTGATAACCACGGCAATCATCACAATGATCCGAATATACTCGAACTCATCCTAATAATCACAACAGTCACAAGCATCATCCTGTTCGTAATCTTCGTGTACGCACCAATTCATCATAATAAAACTGTGATGTCTAATGTCTAATGTTAGAACGAAAGCAAGCATGGAAGCAAAGGCCATCACACTAATCATGACACTAACGTTATGGGTCCGTGCAAACGGCCTTTGAAAGCCCCAGAAGCTCCTCATGGTGAGTTTGGTAGCTTCCTTCTTGCTGAGTTGCAGCAATCCTCAAGGTACCTGTGTTTGCTTTGCCCCATTAAGCCTGAAAAATGTGTGTTAGGATTTTGGCGCCAGCCTTTTTGTTTCTTGTTGAGTCACAGGAAGGAAACCTAAGCAATAACAGAAGTGCATAATTGTTCAGGCTTCTATATGAGTGCCAGCCCGCCAATCGAGATCAAGAAGCAATTAGAGCAAGCATGAGTACAAACGATAGAGACCAGGCAAACTGTAGGGTAGAGGGTTCAGGGATACGTTAAGGCATCTTAGAGCAAACAGCTTGAGCAGTAATCGCAAGGGCCATGAAGCCCTAGACGCCCAAAGCCGTAAGTCTCAATGTGGCACTTGGCCTGCCGCGGTGCATCATGCAGATCGGCACTCCAGGTCCTTGTTCATAGGAGGCCAAAAGGGGTTTTAGCCTATGGGGGTTTAGTAGGGGCTAGGGTTCCCATAATTGGGTTCATATTAAGGAATCCCTACCCCAAGAATCTTAAACCCCCCTTTTGGCCTCCCATGACTTGTTCTTGGGCTTTCGGGAGCACTCCACTCGACGCTTAAGCATTGTAACCCCTCGAATTTTCAACCCCTCGAATCTGAACCGTGACCCCATGATTTCGCGGCTTGAATGCATTGAGGAAAAGAAGCCTAAAGCTTCTATAGGACTTGGGAAATCCAGGTTTGTGAAACTGTGGGTGATCGCGGCTTGCATTTAGGGTTGAGGATGTAGTGTAGGGTTTTGAGGGCTTAGTCTTAAACTCCTGCTGATGAAATAGGATAATGCGGGTCGTGCTGTTGATGGTGGCGTCGATGACCGCTATCACCACCGGCGCCGTCGGCATCAGTGGTGGTAAGATAATGGGCACAAGCGGGCCCATACAAAAAGAAGAGAGCTGTTGCAGCACCATCTAATCTCTGATAATATGCCAAACCAGCGAGAACGCAGACAAGCACACGAGGTAGGAGGAAACTTTTGGAAGAACCAGACTCCAGGAGGAACCCACCGGAGACTGAGGCAGAAGCTCAGCTTGCGGGGCCGAGGGCCTGCTAGCCGAAGCCTCGACATCCGAAACCCCTAAACCTTAAACCCGAAGCCCTAAAACTCCAAAACCCAAACCGGCAACGCGTAAAACCCTAAGCCCCGACCCAACCCAATATAGGAACCCTGGTACTTCGAGCAAGCCTAAGGGCCGAGGGCTTTCAAGGGTGTAGGGTTTGCCACTGATAGCGTTTATGATTTAGGGTTTAGGGTTTATGATTCAGGGGTTAGGGTTTATGATATTTTAAAGTGTAGTGACTCTTTCTGTTCCGCGAACAAGTCGAGCCTGCCACGTATGGCTTACACTACAAAGAATGCCCTCTCACTGCACGGGTTTATGATTTAGGGTTTAGGGTTTCGGTTTATGGTCCAGTGCTGGTTTCTCTGAGTCTCCCGAGCTTGGATATATTAGGAATGCTCTGGCTCTAAGGGAAGAGTGTGCATGACTCAATGTGAATTGTGCGGGCATTTTGTTGTTGATTCGATGGCACGTCCCGAACCACTGGACACCAGAGGCCTCAGCCCGCCAGCAAGCTGACTGGGGCAGAAAGCTCTGGAAAAGCTATTGGTTCACGGTCGCTTTTGGACTGCGATTGTCCAACACCAGGGGCTGCGTTGGGCCTGGGTCTTGGGGTTCTTTGGTTGTATTAGGATTTCTTTGACCAATTCTAGATACTAGGTGAGTAGACCAAGCACACGCCTAAAACCTTGGCAACCTCCGATCGCATCACGAGCTGGGAGTAGCTTTACCAACTTCACTGCCTTGAGCCCTTAATGTAGCGGCTTTCATAATTTGAACAGGACTTCGGTGGTTTTTTCCAAAACTATTTTAAGCAACCCCCGAAACCCTATTCTCATTATAAGGCCCCTACATTCGACCCAAAATGCCAACCACCTCTTTCCTCTCGCGGCCTGACCAGCTGCCGTCATGGGCCGCTCGGCAGCGGCATCCGCAGGGGCTGGTGGTGGAGCCTTCGCATGGGACCCTAATATGGTACCCTACATAGTAGGATCCTTATTATAAGGAGCCCCAAATAAGGTACCCCTAATTTTGGTCCATCTGTCCATATTATAGCAGTTCATGGTTTAGGGCTTCGCGGGTTCCGGATTAGGGTCTGAGCTTGTTGTCTTGCTCAGAGGGCTTTGCATGTGGGCTGACCTGGAAGTCGTGGAGAGGCCCCGCAGCGTCCTCGTCTTGTATGCTTACTTGTGACGTCAATGAAAAAGACCTGATCCCGAGATGCACCTCGAACCCAAACCCACAGCCCTGAAAGCTGTAACCCCCAACACACAAGCGCCCCAAGAGCCCAAGAGCCCCATCATACCAACTCTCTTCGAGGGCCTTGTGTGCTACAGTGACAGTTTTCCGACCAGGGGGTCTTATCTACATCATTTTGGCCCTTACACCGCAAACACTCAACTCCTAAACCTGAAAAACCCCTAAGCCCTCAGTGCCTGCGAAACCTCCTAAGCTCATGAACCAAGCCGCCCGAGCCTTCCTCCTCACCATCGATCTTCGGGTTCAAAGCGTTTTAAACTTTCAGAACATCGTTACACCCTTTAGAAATACTCTAGAAATTTGGGTTTAGGGCTTTGAGGTGACATACGTTCTTGAAGTGCTTGGTTTCTGCGTCTACTCCCATGCATCCGTCATCGAGATTTAGGCTTTTCCCGAGCCCCCAGAGAGAAGAGACACACTCACAAACCCATGCGCGTGCACGAACACCAGACCCAAACCCCTCGACCCGAAGCCCTTGAAGCCCAAAAGGCTAGCCAAACACTTCCAAAGCTGTGAAGCCAAGTTTGAGAATTTGTGTTTCTTGGTTTTTTGCATCCGAGCCACCGGTATTGGGGCCACATAGAGGCGGCTGTTCGCGGACACCCACCTGTTTAACGAAGCCAAAGATCGCGGTCGTCAAGAGGTTGCACTGGTTTACAACGGTTCTCCGGTGGCTTTCTGACCTACCCGTAACCCCTAAGCCCTAAACCCCAAACCTTGAACCGCAACTTTGTAGCGCAAAAGAATGGCAATGCCAGGACCTCCCGGGAGCCGGCACAAAATTCCCGGCTTAAGTTTGGAGCCGTATACTATACCCAAAGGCTCCAAAGTAGTTCCTTTTTGGGATTACCTTATAGGATTCTAAATACGAACCCCAAAAAGGAACTACTATAGGAGCCTCTAGGTAGGATCCTTTCTGGGCTCCTTCAAACGGGTTTTGGGAGTTAGGGCACTTGATAAGCGGAATAAGGTTTCGTGCGTATTGTACGACAACAATGGTACAGGAGTACGAATTATTCATGAGCCCAAATCATGTCCCGGGTTTGGGATGCATGATCCGCGTGGCTATGGGTATAAGGCTTTGGGTGGCGGGGTTTGGAGATCTTCACCTTACTTGGGCCCTGAACCCTAAACCGAAAGTACCTGGAGACTGGAGAAGAAGTATTCAGGTGCCAGGCTGAAGCTGGCGATGGGGGCCAAATGATTTGCGCAGGGACCTTGAATGTCCAACTTCAGGATGCACTCTGAGGTACTTCCCGGCCTCTGCATGGGCCCCAGCTCATCCACCAGGCGGTCGAAAGCCGTCTGGCATAGGGCCTTTGGTCTGCAGCTTATATAGGAGGTCAGGGTTCCTAGAAGTACGAATAAAGAGGGTATACCTCAGAAATCTATTCTTATTATGACTGAGGCCACTAAGCTATGAGATTCAAGACCGCTACTGCCACATCACCACGAAAACTACTACTACTACTACTACTACTACTACTACTACTACTACTACTACTACTACTACTACTACTACTACTGCTACTATTATTACTACTACTACTACTACTACTACCACCACTACTACTACTACTACGACGACTACTACTACTACTACTACTACTACTACCACTACTACCTACTACTACTAACTACTACTAACTACTACTACTACTACTACTACTACTACTACTACTACTACTACTACTACTACTACTACTACTATTGCAACAACAACAACAACAACAACTACTACTACTACTACTACTACTACTACTACTACTACTACTACTACTAGTATTCGTAGCAGTATTACTGGTAGCACTCGTCTGAGTGCGAGTACTAATACAAGTACTAGTACTATTACCTGTACTAGTAATAGTAGTAGTAGTAGTAGTAGTAGCAGTAGTAGTAGTAGTAGAAGTAGTAATAGTAGGAGTATTAGCAGTAGCAGTAGCAGGAGCAGTGGCTAGCAGTAACTGTAGCAGTAGCAGTAGCAGTAGCAGCAGCCGTAGCAGTCGCAGTAGTGCTAGAGCTAGTTCTAGTGCTGCTGCTGCTACTGCTACTACGAGTACTAGTACTGCTAGTACGTACGTACCTACTACTACTACTACTTCTTCTTCTTCTACTGCTATTACTACTACTACTACTACTACGACGACGATTACTACTACTACTACTACTACTACTACTACTACTACTACTACTACTACTACTACTATTGCAACAACAACTACTACTACTACTACTTCTTCTACTACTACTACTACTACTACTACTGCGACTACAACGACTACTACTACTACTACTACTACTACTACTACTGCTACTACTACTACTACTACTTCTACTACTACTACTACTGCGACTACAACGACTACTACTTCTGTCTAGAGTCCAGGGCTTAGGGCTGAGTGCTCCTCGTGACCTCGTCCGGACCCAACCCCTTTCCTCTGGCCTGCAGGGTGTCCACCAACTCTGACCTAAGCGCAGATCTGGACACCCAAACAGTGCTATGAACATCTTTATAGGATGTGTGTTGTTTACGGCAGGGCGATTTCAAGGGTCACTATAAGGATGCTGGGAGTTCGGGATATGGGGTCTAGCACTTGAAGGCTTAGAGTTTGGTAGCTTCCAACCCCGAGCTCGGAAAAACCTCCGACCTTGTGTCTTGGGGTGCGTTCGTCCTAGCCGCTAGTCTAAGTACTGCATGGGTTGGGGTGGGGTTTATAGGGTTGTGAACTATGGACGGTTTATGATGTGGCAAGTATGGCATTTGATAGCACGGTGGCGAAGTTCAGACTGCCGCACACGCGTGACTCGCGCTCAATCCCTAGGCAGATTTGGGCGCCGAGCGCGAGAGAGCTACTCTTGCGTCGAGGCATGGCTCGTGCTAAACAGAAGCCCTAGCCCAAAGCCTAAGTGGATGGTAAGCAGAGGCTAAGCCGCGGGCACATCAAAGCGAGAAGACAACGTCTGCGGGCTGATGCCTCAGATGCACGAAGTTGTGGGGTGTGCCGTGGTCAAGTTGCTGTTGCCCTTGTAACAGTGGCTTCCTTTTGGATGGACACCGTCACAAGTATGCGGCATTGTGGCGGCAATGGCTGGTTGTGCTGCTGCTGCTGCCAGTTTCAGTGCGCCAGCTGCGACTTAAAACTAAAACAGAACCAGGACACAAGCACAATACTGTCTGCAGGGAGATTTGGTTGTTGTCCTTGCAGCTGCTGCTCCCGCATCTGACTGATCAGGCTGAGCAAGCAACTCAAGCAACCTGGGGTTTAGGGTTTAGGGTCTGATTAGCTGACAGAGAGGTCTGCTTTACTTGATGGCAGTACTGCTCAACTCAACACGAACTGGCCTATCAACTAACCCGCGGAGCCAGAGGCAACATCAGCTAATCTTGCCCAATAAAAAATGGATACCGAACGATTCTGTAGTCAGTCCATTAATGACCACATGACCGTCGGTCTACTTTTTTCACTAGCCGCTGATGTATATCCGCTGGTCCACGTAGAAATCCACACATGCATGCATTCTCGCGGGCAGTTGTGTATGTGCCTCTCTGAAGGGGTGCACCTACATTCGATAATCCATGTACGGTCTCCTCCTCACCGTCATCATGAACTATCGAAATGATCATGGTCAGTGGTGATGAACCTCATCAAAGAACAAAGTAGAACTTCACATAAGGGTCATGATGCAGATGATGGTAGTGATGCTGATGCTGATGAAGAGGGGAATGAGGATGAGGACGGTGGCAATGATGATGAAAAGCCTCCGTCCCGAAGCCTGGATCACCCTCAAACCTCCAGACCATCCAGAGATTCGACCGACGGAGACAAGGGCAACCTGAAAGCTGATTGATCGGTTATCTGGGATAGAGGGTGGACATGTGGGTGTGGGGCTGCTGGGCGTGTGTTACTTGGGACGATTTGCTTGTTTTCTGCTTGAGGGGCTTTTGGCCTCCTCTGCCGATTTGCAGCATGGTCAATCCCTCGGGATCTAAGGACTCTTATAGGGTTCCTTTAACGGGATCTATAAAGGGTCTTTTAAAGGGATCTATAGGGTTTAGGGATCTAAGGTCTCACATATTAAGGCTTTGGGGCCCAAAAACCATACTATATAAGGCTTTTGGGCTATCTTGATCCCTAGGCAATGAACTTCTGGGAAGCCGTGCTTTGCAGGTAAGCCAGCCAACCCAGCGGAGAGCCTTTCCGCAACTCCTGCCAAGTTATCAAGGCTGTAACCCTAAGGCTCAAAATGGCCAAAAAAGCCTTATATAATACGGTCTTTAGGCCCAAAAGCCTCAAAATATGAGTCCTCGGAGCTTTAGAGTAATGGTGTCTCAGAACGACACTGGAATCTGTGAGAGAAAAATAGCTCCATGCCACAATTCTACTATGACCCAAACAACCCTTTCAACATCCAAAATCCTATTTTAAAACCTCTATATACTAGCATCCCCATCCAACAACAAAAACTATTCTGATTCTTGAGGCCCCCATATTCCTTGGGCAGCTTCTAAACCTGGCTTGCCCTCGAGGGTACCTTCGGAGTCCTCAAAATGGTAATCAACTCGCCTTGAAAAGGTTTACGGGCTAGGAGCTTAGAGTTTAGGGTTTATGATTTGGGGTTCTGGGTTGTAGTTTTGGGGCTCTGAAAAGTATTTATGAATAGGTACCTCTATAGGAACCATAAGGGAAATTAAAAAGTTTCCCAAATTGCCACCTACGATTTAATTTGAGCTCCTTTTCTCCAAGCCCGAAGGTCCGAATAGGCTAGAAAGCCAGGACAACGGGTTTAGGGTTTCGGGTTCAGGGTTTAGGTCCAGGTTTACGGCGGCTTCTCATGCATGACTGAATAAACTTCAGGCTTAATGCTTTGGCCTGAGGTTCGATACCCAAAGCGTCCAAGCAATAGCAACATGCATACTTTGGGGAACCCCAAAATGCCTGCTACGCAGCTACTATATTGGTACTTGGACCCTGTGAAATACGATCCCATGCAGAGAACCAGTTCAATTGCTCGGCCCAAACTCGGCACCCTACACCCCAACCCTCTCATCAAAAGCTGAATGAGCCTTGAACCCCCAAAACCTGAAACGCTCTTAGAAGTCTAAGTCCCCCCCAACCCAAAGACCAATGCCCCTCAAGACTTCAACCAACGTGTAGCCCGAACCCCAAACCCAGAGCCTTGAGAGTTAGAACCGGGTTCAAGTTGTGGGGAATACTCTGCTATATACCCATAACAAAAACGCGCACCGGCTAACCCCCCAACATGGAAAAGATCACCGTGACAACTCGAGATGGATGTGGGTTCTCTGATGCCTGGCCGATTTTTCGATGTCTGCACGGGACGGGACATGGCAGGACGGGACGGGGCTGGGATTGGGACCATTGGGACCGGATCATGCAATGCTTATCGATGTCCTCTTTCGATGTCATGAAGTGTTGTTACGACCATGTGCAGGAGACCGTTTTGGATGTCCGTGCACGCAGCCAAGAATTCTGACCTGCAGTACATACCCAGCCCTGAAGCCTCATTAAAGCCCCTGCTCCAAACACGGCTCCTCTGCGACACTGCTGGGTTCCTCTTCCAGAAGATCCTCAAGCTCCTTCTCACTGAGGATACTTCGGAGCTCCTGCAGTGCAGCTTGGGTCTATTGAGCATGAATTCTACTAACATATGACATTATCTGGTATACTAGACAAATATATGATCGTTTATAGTCAGTACTACTTTAATAGTGATGTAAGACTGGGAACTTGGGCTGCAGACTTTTGGCTTCGCACTTGAAGGCTTGATGAAAGGACGTAGAAATAAATTGACTGACGTCTGGCCCTGTCTGGCACTGACGACAAGAGAGACCTGCAGTTGCGCAAACATCTGTATGTATGTATGTATAGAAATACACAACTATACATCGTCTGTTACATATATATACATATGTGTATACATATACACACATCGCAGTACAACCGCAAATCGATCTACCGAGACTCGTCTTGCATGTTTGCATATGCGTCTGTTCGTTGCTTCCCGACAGTAGCGTGGATCCAGGATTTCCTTTAACCCAAGCGGAAGTTGCCAGGGGGAAACCGTGCAACGAGCTATAAGCAACGAAGTGAAGGGACGCCAAACCGCAAGTCGTCCGCGCTGCTCACACTATGGTCCAGATAAGAAGAAGATGTCTCAAAACCATAAAACCCTCGACGCAGTAGTCGACACAACCACGGGCTTTGTCTTAAAGCACAAAGAGCTATTGAGGCCGACCCTGACAGCCATTCAACATACCGTACCTGCCTCTAAGATAGACAATGCCTAGATCCCCCTTCTAGGCTGGGACTGCTGTAGGCAAGCGTATTCTCAAGAGTCCCTCCCGGTGTACGTACAGAATACCATCCCCCCCACCACCACCACCACCACCACCACCACCACCACCACCACCACCACCACCACCACCACCACCACCACCACCACCACCACCACCACCAACAGAAAGCGCACTCCGCCGAGACCAAGAACACCCTCGTAGGGTCATAATTGTAAGGTGCGAGGGCTTCGGGGTTTTCGGTTTTAGAGCTTATAAAAGCCCAAAACCTGGAAGCCCATCAGAATCCTTCACCTGCCCCCCTCCTGGCGTTTTTGATATAAATCCTGCATTACCCAGATTTACCCGTATTCCCATAGTCTGGGGTCCTTAAGGTAATGCAGGATTTTTTTATCATCAACAGTACCACGTAGAAGTTTGGGAGGTCCTGGAGCAAGATCTGGAGGCACCCAACAAGTTCGCTTGCGGAGTACCTGCCCAGAGGGTCCGAGGTACTTCCCCATATTATGATAGTAACTCCTATGTACTTCCCCATATCATGATAGTAACTCCTATTATAGAACCCTACAATATACCTTAACCTACCAAGCCCTATATTTTTGTAGGTTCTTATTATTATAAGCCCTAATATGAAATTGATAGGGACCCTACAAAAAGGTAGCTTCCGGTGGGTTAAGGGAGGTACCTAGCACCCTTTGGGCCGAAAGGAAAAGTTCCGCAAAGCTTGCGCACGGCGCTAGGTAAGCAATTGGGACCACGGTTCGGTTTAGGGTTTAGGGTTTAGGGGCCCCCCTTTGTTGCCTCATGGAGTCTTAAAGGACGAGTGGTTTGCAAGCATTTGGCATAAGCTCTCTTTCTCTCTCTCTCTCTCTCTCTTTGTTTCTTTATCTATATATATATATATATATATGTGATCCCTGCATCCGGCTCGTAAATCACCCCTAAACAGACATAATTCCCCGGCCTGAAAAATTCCAGTTTCGAGCAAAAAACTCAAAAAAATGTCAAATAGATTTAATCTACTAGTATGTTTGTTGAATGAGGGGTCAGGTAGGGTCGGCATCATGGGATTGGAACTACCTGGCTATAGGGCACGCTTCCGGAATTGGAACGCGGGCCATTTGGAGCAGGAACGCGGCGTCCGAGGGAGTCCAGATCTGGTTTAGCCGTCTACTAGACCCAAGAGTAACCTAGGAATAAAAAGGGTGCCCTTTTAAAGGGGGTTATAAGGGAACTTAACCCATAAAAAAGGGAATAAGGGCCTACTCTGGGTCCTAGTCTACCTGTAGTCTCCATTGTAGCTCCTTTTTTGGTTAACCAATTTTTGATGGTTAGGATCCTAAAATAGAGTTCTTGGTTAACCAGAAAAAGGAACTACGATGGAGACTACAGGTAGAATTTTTTTAATTCCCAGGCTAGGGTCGCATGGAAAATTGGAACGGCCGGCATGGAGACTTGGAATGCGGTGGTCTATTCGCAGACTGAGGCCAGCAAATAAGTCAGTAGTTGCTGTCTCGAATCCGGAACTCCCAGGCTAGGCAGCGGGGTGCGTATTGGTATTCGCAGGATGAGGAAAGTACATTGCTGTCTCGAAGCCGGAACTCCCAGGCTAGCAAGCAGAGTGGTGCGAATAACCGCTGTCCGGACCGCAGGGGGGGGGCTGGAGCTAAAGCTTTTTATTGCTGACTCCCCTCAACAACTACAATAGGGCTGCGGCCGCCAAAGCGAGGCTATTTTTGGTCCACACTGTCGCTTTTGTGGCTACAGAAGGAACATCTCCGGAGCAACTGTGTGAGTTTAGGTTTCTCCTGGCCTAGCGATAGGGTTTAGGGCTCACATACCTTAACCTACCAAAACCTACTTTTTTCTAGGGTCCCTATAAATTCCATATTCGGGCTTATAATAAGAACCTACAAAAAAGTAGGGTTCGGTAGTTTAAGGTAGTGCTGACGGTACTCAGCCTTGGGCTCCAGGGTTTCTTGCTTGAGTGTTGGGTTTGGAGATTTATAATTTATAAGCATACCCAAAGGCTCCAAAGTAGTTCCTTTTTGGGATTACCTTTTAAGATTCTAAATATGAGCCCTAAAAAGGAACCACTATGGCGGAGCCTTAGGGTAAAGTATCTATGAAGGCTTACGGCCTAAACTGCATGAACTGCGCAGAGATTCTTTGGTTCTGGGTGCAGGATCTCCGCATCGAAGATTCAAGCCTAAATCCCACAGACCCCACAGGGTTACCTAGGCCATACACCACTGGGCCCTACGACCTCACCCCTGAGACCAGCACTCACCCGTCAACGTAAACCCCAAAACCGACCAGGACCCCCAAGTAAAGGGAGATCCCATAGTTCTCATCTCATGATAAATACTATACTGAACTTAGAACCCTAGCAAAAATTGTAATTTTAGCTGTTTCTTAGGGACTATAATAACCCAAAATTAAAAATTATTTCTAAGTACCCCTAAGAATAAGCTTGTATGGGGGATACACTAAGGGTAGTCGGGGGGTCTGATTCTAGGTCTACAAGCCCTGCAACCTCGAACTCCTAAACCCTGTACGTGGGAGTTTCCGAAAATTCGGGGTACCTTATTTTGGGGTCCTTATAATATGAATCCTACTATTCAGGGTACTATATTGGGGTCCCCTACTTTCGGAAACTCCCATGTAGATAACCTAAACAGATCCCTGAGCCCCAGCCCTGACGATGCCGAAGCACTTCTTCAGCAAAGACGTCGGCAGAGACGCACAGAGATATGAGACCTCGCCATCATATGCAGGTTTAGCGCATTTAGGGACATGTGTGATTGTCTTGGGTTTAGTTTTCAGCGCCTACTGCATGGGTTCAGGGTGACTTTGATTGGGGTTCAGGGGCTGAGCTGCGGAGGCTCTGCAACAAAAATCCACCCTCCCGCCCCAACAACCTACTCGTGAGACGACCTCCACGGGCACCACTCCGAACCCTAATTCCAAGACTCCAACACCCCACAACCCTAAACCCCCAACCGTGACATATCCCCGGCCTTATATGGAATCCTGCATCCTAACCGTTGGTCCCTAAACCTTGGGCCCTACCCATAGGCTCCGTAGTAGTTCCTTGTTGGGAGTACCTCATAAGATTCAAAATATGAACCCCAAAAGGAACCACAATGGAGACCAGGGGTAAACCCCTAAACACTAACCCCTAAACCCTAAACCCTACAGAAAGGGAAACCAGGTAGGCCCCCGCATTCGTGTTTCAAGTGTCATAAAGCCTGTCTTGTCTACTCTCATCCTTGCATACCTGCCGGTATGATTACAGAAACACTGTTTTAAAACATCCGCTTTGTTTTAAAGCAGTCCTGTCTTCCTGCCGGACATACGACCATCGAGGCACAATAGTAATCTCCACAAACCAAAAGAACCAAAAGAACTAAAAAAACTAAAAAAACCAAAAAAACCAAAAAAAACAAACAAACCAAAAAAACCAAAAACCAAAAAAACCAAAAATCTGGGGGACTAGTCTCCTGGAGAATTGTTTTTTTTTTGGTTTTTTGTTTTTTTTTGGTTTTTTTGGTTTTTTTGGTTTCTGCTGCAGGTACCGCGCTCAGTGTTGCCAGTGCCGCCTTACTCCTTGGCCGCACATATTCCGGGTTACTTTTCTTTGTCTGTGCGTGTGAAAGCCAACACATGCAGCGTGAAACACACTGTATCGTACTCTATGTGTGTATGCGTGCCTGGTACACTCCCAGAAATCGGTTGGACACCACGCCGTGCTGTCGAGTAAGCTCGCACTGGTACACGGCTGTACAAATGTATTCCTGCATAACGCTGGAACGTTGGAAAGAGAAAAAAGGCTTCTGGTGCCGATGATGCCTGCCTGCAGCCTGCGACCCTGGTGCTCATGATGTTTGACTGTGATCCGTCATTTCCATGTCAAACTCGCCGTATTGAATTGCTCGCAAAGTTGCTTTCTCGAAGTCTGCAGTTCTCGTGTAGTTAGCTTTCCCTCTAGTCCTCGCCATGGCCGGTGAAGATCTTTCTTTCGACGATCTCCAGAAGACCGTTGAACCATTGGTGTGTAAGAATCTGACTACACCTGCCATCCTGAAGTTGCCCCTCGGCTTGTTCACCCCGGCTGCACTACCGTTGCAGGAAATGTCGTCCACGGACAACCCTAGCGTCAACCTCTTTGACATCATCACAGACTACCGGGGGACTATTGATGTCAACGATCTGACGAAGGCATACAAAACCGCTGTCTTGAACTCCGATTTGTCTTCGCTACCGGAGCCCTTTGGGTTTCGCGGTATTCTTGCTCGCAACACCAAGCTTCAGTTGTTCGTGTGCGAGTGTCCAGATGGCTCCAACATTATCGTCAAGCATTTCACGTGTCCGGACAAGTGCAAGCCCTCTGTCTTCTTGGCAGGAGCAAGTGGCAAGGCTTACATCTACCGTTGGCGAGCCACCCATGCCAAGGTCGGAAAGAAAATCCTTCAGTATACTTTGGAAAGCCTTGGCGGTCAGCAGTTCAAAATGTTCGAGATGCAATCCTTCTGCGCCCCCAAAGCCTCCACCAACAGATTCGAGGATAAGACGGATGAAGAAATCGATGCCGGTTTCGACTTCATTGTCCATGATGCACCGCGCTCCTCTTCAGAAATGCAGCAGCTTCGGTGGATGACAAAAACCCTCAAAAATCCACAATCGCCTATCTTCAACTGGCCCGGTGCACTTGTTGAGAAGGCGCTCCGGAACCTGAGCCAAGATGGCTCACTCGCCAAGAAGGAGATGGACTGGCCCATCCCCCTTACGTCCACCTATTACCATGGATGGGTCTTGGAGCTTCTGGAGAAGGTGTGGGATTTCGACACGTCCGCCCTCGTGATGTTGGGTGAGGCGGGTGCGGGCAAGTCACCACTGGGTCGCAGCATCTTGATGGCACAGGCCCGGTTTAACAAGGCGCACTTTGGTGCCCGCACCACCGTGTGCATTCGCTGTACGCCTGAAATTGATTTTCTCAGAGGAGAGCAAGGTAATATCACAATGGGTGACTTTCTGGATGACACATGTCTCAGCATCCTCTCTTCCAAAATGCTGAAGTCTCTGTTGGACGTGGGGCTCTACGAGGCCATGGCATGGGCTCGTTGGGGAGCTGTCAAGTGGGTACAGAATCAGCCACGAGCGGTGGCCGACAATACCTACGAGCCCATGGAACTTCCCGACGAATTCGATTTCGTCTCATCCATCTCTTTCGACAAGTTCGCGAAGTGTATCCGTCCAGCCTTCAATTCCGAAGTTTCGAAGGCACATATGGACGCTATCTTCAAGCGCACTGTCTTCCTGGTGAACAGTCCCACACATGTCTACTTCCGCAAGGCCGGCATCAACGAGGATCCTGTCCCCCGTGTAAACATAGAGCGCCCTGAATATCTCACCGAAAAGGGGCGCACCCTCTACGGCACCTTCAAGGACGGCACCCGGGCCTTCCCCCCCGACCATGCCGCACAGGTTCGTCGTGAACAAGACTGGGTGACCAAGGTTATGGAGAAGCGCTTCGATGAGAGGCGTCCCGACTACAAAGCTCGACAGGCCATCCGTCGTGGTCTCTGGGGTCCAGAACCTGCATCATCCCGCTCCCGGCCCATCTATCGTCAGGTTGATGATCTTCACAAGTCATCTACAAGGGATGCGGTCGCCGCTGCCCCCATCATCAAACGCGAGCGGGTGGAGCAAGAGGAAGCCAGCAAGAAGGCAAAGATTTGGGCCTTGGAGTTGAAAGCTTCCAACAGCGCCATCGATCTCGACTCCCCCGACCGCACGAAGGCAGCTCTCCCGTCTACCGCCGTGCCCAACCCCGAGAACATGATCAGTGACGACATGGATGTTGTCACTGAGGATGAGGCGGATGTCCTGGGCAATGGCTTCGACCTCGGTGAGCACGACAACTGAGCTTTGCTGAGGTATCGCGTAGTTTTGTCACTGCCGTCATGCTATGCCCTGGCCCTCTCTTCAAAAGAAGACCCTCTAGAATAAATCGGTAATGCTCATGATGGCAAAACATTGCTCCGTAGCCGCGTAGTCGCACATGATGGGGGCCCGACAAATTTTGGTAGACCGCATCCTCAGTCAGACCCTGCTTCCTGCGTGCGTGCACATAGGGCAAAAGGACGTCCTTGTCTGCATGTCTGCTGTCTCGCTCGTGCCTGGCCTCATCAAATGTTGCATATACAGCCGTGTCCAAACATCGCGTGTTGTAGTCGAACTAGCCGCCCGCTGTACTTCTTGCTTCAGCCATGGTGAAGGTCGCACGTGCTTTTCCTCGCCGCACGTGTCCTAGTTGCTCTGGGTCACTCGTCAAGACCATCACGGGCCCTCGCGACGTCAGCAAGGGCGTCCTCATCGGGAGTGAATCTTTATCCAAGACGAGCACTCGTGTCAGTCGTTGTGTCCGAAAGGGCTGTCGGGTTTACGTTCGTCACAACTACATGCGGATCGCCGGAGAAAAGATCAACGTTCTCTCCTTCAATCAAATGAAAGCAGCTGGTGTGTATTTCGTGACCACCAAGACAGCATTCACCATGTCCTACCTCGAACTTTGCTATCTTCGTCTTCTTCGCGCGAAAACATCCCCAGGACAGGAGGCTGCGGTCCGAGTTCTTCTTCATCAAGGACATGACGATCTTCCAGATCATCGAACCTTCCGTGATTGCCTTTTGCGTGCTCTCGAGGCTTATGCTGTGGCGAAGCGAACACCTGACCAGGTTGTCTCCTTCAACGTCGACTATCCGGCCAAGGAGGTCGTCCGACTTAGCCGCAGTCAGCCTTTGCTTTTCCATCCCATGAACGGCGTGCGAGAGGTGGCCATGGATGGGAATTTCGGCTTGCATCGTCATCTTCTTCCAGGTGTCGACCCTCCCCGGACCAAGCAATTGCCAGGACGACCACGGAAAGCTCTTCGTGAGGATGAGCGATCGTGTAGCTGTGCCAGAAAGGATTCTCTCCACTTGGCACTGCCACAGCGGACTGCGGGATGGCAGTTCGCAGTGGACCCTTCGTCCAGAAAGGTCTTGGCGGCTTTGGAGCACAAAGCCAGTGAGTCTCATGGAGACAAGGTTCGCTTGTTGCATGGACTTTTTGCAGATCCGCAATGTGTTCCTGACGTCCTGATCCATGACGACGCGTGTCACTTGGAGGCCTATGTCCGGAAGCATCATCCTGACAGTTTCCCTAGTGTCAAACACTTCATAGTGGATGCCTTTCACCGCCGCAACCACAAATGCAGCAAGCGGGAATTGACCGTGTCGCAGAAGCGACGCTGCAACAGGGTCCGGACAAACATGTCCGAAAGCTTCAATGCTTGGATCCGCGCCCTGATTTTTTTCGTCAATTCGCTTCGGCCCCACAGCCATGCATTCTGGATTGAGGAAGCCTGCCTGTTTTATAACACGAATCTTGCTCCTCTGCCCACATTCGTAGCACGACCGCGGGGACGCCGCAATGTCAAGGCTCGCATGATGAAGAAGCCTGCCGCCATTCGCAAGCGGCCAAGCAGCCGTAGGTAGGAGCTACCGTGTTTGGAACGCCGGCAAGACTGCCAAATTTTGATGTTCTGGACTGCTGCGAGAACCCCGAGAGAGCTCATGATGCGATCACGCGGAAAACCACGGTGTGTGCGTGCATGCCCTACATGCTAGCATGTGTATCATGAAGTCTGCACGGTTACGTACCTTTGAACATGTACCTTTCCACGTGTGCACTTCTACAGCTCAAGTGTTTCAGTACTGAGTAGTCTGCTTGCTCCTATGGCCTCGCTCCCGGTCGTTGGACATGTGCGTTCGGCTGGTCGTGGTAAGGTGCTGCTAGAACTGCAGCCAGTGCAGGAGCCTTCCACCAGCTCCTCTACCCAGACGAAGCCACCGAATGCTAAGCAGCTGCTCCGTGATATTCAAAGTAAAGTACAGTTTGTGGATCCCTCCAGAGAGAATCTCACAACGCGAGCCCTGCAGATGCAGATTAGCAACATACAGCGACAGCTCCGTCTTGAGACTTCCGCTACGGGTGGATGGTCTGCAAAAGCTACGGTGTTGTTAAACAACTGGTTGGCCAAGCCATGTCGTAGCAGAGCTGCAAGTACACTCGCCATCGCAGACACCAGCGTGAAAGCAGATGAAACCCCAAAGAGTTCGGCTCCGCGATCGCGTTCCTCATCGTCATCATCATCAACCTCTCCTGAGCCGGTCAAAGTCCAGCACAGGCGTAAGCGTGCACGCACGAGGTCTCCTGTTGCGCTGCTTGAACATATCGTAGAACTAGAGGCTGTCATAGGCCGAGCTCAGGACGTAGAAGAGCAGAATGCTTTGCTCAGCCATGAAGTAGACCGCCTCAAAGGCATTCTTGAATCACGAGGTCTAGGGCACCTGGTGTAGTAGCATGTCAACTTCTCTGCGTTTGTTTCACCAAGGGAGCGAAGGGGAGCGAGTTCCATGTCACTTGAAACAGCCAAGAGGGTACCGGGTTTCCCCTTCCCAAACCCTAACCCTAACCCCAAACCCCCAAGCGGGCAAACCCTACATCCCCCCAGCTTGGCGGCCGGCAAAGGTGTCGCACATCTCCACTTTGATCTGCTCGAAAAGCTGGCCCTGGAACTCTGGAACCCCCAACCCTTAACCAAGGGAAGGGTTTAGGGGTTTAGATTTTAAGGATTTAGGGGTTTAGGGTTTAAGGAAATTCAAGAAATTTGGGGAATTTGTGGAATTTGGGGTTTGGGAGCTTGGGGGCACTTATTTTCATTCGCTTGGCCTTGCTGATTGCACGCTTGTCTCTGTTGCATCCAAATTTCGATCTTGCTTACTTTTTGTACAGCAGCAGACGCCTCTAGCTTCACGTCGGATTCTTGGACACAGCTTACTAGGGTTGTACAAGAACGGGAATGGGCTTGAAGATCCCTCAAGTTAAGACACGAGACCCACTACAAGTTGAAGCATGTTGCGCAAGTACGCATCGTAAAACTCGACGAGCATGCAGAAGTTGAAGCATCGGTTCAAACATTGTGAATCTCCTCGTGCCTGGCGCGGAGCATTTCAGGGCAGTCGTGCAATGAAGGCTTGGCAATGGGTCTTCTCCCATGCTGCGACGGCAGCCAAGCTTCGCAGGAAGCCCTCAACGGATTGCCCCAAGACTTCAAACTTCAGCCTGAACCTGGGAAGGGCCATTCAATGCAAAAGAACAAGAAACAAGCAAGTCTTAGAATTAATTCATGTGCAGCATCCACCACCCCACCATTGATACAGGTCCTTAACCTTAAAGCTGGTGCCCACCAAACCTGAATCCTAAACACCAAACTCTCCTGTTGCCGCCCTCAAACCCTGACGCCTGAAGCCTGGACTGCGTAAACAGCCATGTCCCTTAAGCCCAACACTCCCCGCCAATCTTATTGTGGAAGCATTGGGCTTTGAGGGATTCCTCCTAGAATCAACACGGACGCTGGCAGGCTGCAGACTGTGCGACCTGCAGAAATATTATGCACTCTGCCTGATGATGCCGGGATGCTGTGGTCACGGGATGTCAGGGATATGCCTATATGATACTAGTCTTACTTACTAGTCTCTAGTCCGCAGTTGTTTGTTTGAAGCGACTTTTCCAGACTCCAGATCCGGTATAAGGACTAGCGGTATATGCACTGCATAAACCCTCAACCCTGAATCCCCCTAAACCCTAAACCGAGTAAACCGCAAACTTGACCGCTCTTCCTCGTCAAGGTGGGCTGGTGCTCCGCAGGCGGATGGTTCCTAAACGTGCTCAGGGTGTAAGCTTTGAGACTCAGGCATAGGGCCTGTGAAAAATTGTGGTGTTTGTCGGTTTGGACCTGGGACATTTAGTTGAGTCCAAGCGCTTTGGTTCAGGGTTTTGGAGCTTGGGATCTATGGGGTATTTAGGATCTGGAGAATCAACGTCGACCTGCATTCTTGCCCGCAGACTCCAAGCCCTCAAAAATTTAATCGTGTGGCACTCTCGGGGGGCGGTGTTGAGAGACTTGTACTGTATGCCGAAACCCACCTCTCAGTGCATTACAAGAACTGGTTCTTGGTTCAGAAGTTCCTTGGAGCCCTCCACCCCGCCTGACATCACGACCCAAGAAACCTCGAGGATGGCCCGAAGCAAACGATGAATCTGGAAAAAAGCTTGTAATTTTGGGGCTCTGAGAAGTATTTATGAATAGGTACCTCTATAGGAACCATGAATAGAAATTGAAATGTTTCCCAAATTGCCACCTAGTTATTCAGAATTCGTTTTCGATATCCCATATAAACCCCTTATAATGAAGCCCAGTAAGGTAGGGATATCCCTGTAAAATGCTTATGCTTATGTGCCTTTTGGGTCCCTAAACAGTGGCACACTACGGTAAACTTATATGCCTGGGAACCTTCACTCAACCGGAAAACGCCGAACCTAGATCGTGACGCTAAAGCCTCAAATCCTGAACCCGTAGCCCAAAAGCCCTGAAGCTCTAACACCCCAAATCATAAACCCCCCAAAAGCCCCCAAAAGCCAGCCACGGCCATCACCCGACTAACGCACTCTGGGATCCCAACCAGGGATGCTTCCGCAGGGCCCAAGATATCCTTTGGGTTTAAGGGGGTTGCGGGTCTGGGAGTTCCGGGTAGATAAGTTATAGGGTTTATGGATTCAGAGTTTGCAATTTAGGGTTTCAGGGTTTAGAGTTTAGGAGTGCTTATGGGGGGTTTTTAGGGGTATGTGCTCTAGGCACTATATCTGTCTTCCGAACCCTAGTTATCGATTTAAAGGGTGCTTCCTTTATAGCTTCTTTAGTATGGGATGCTCTACATCTTAATCCAAGGGCATGATTGCTTAGTCATTCGTGCGTACTGTAGACTAGGATTTCGGGTGATAGTAGGTTACAACTATACTGGGACTATGAGGAGATACTTTTACCCGCCCATCAAGATCTCAAATTTTCGGCGATGGGGTGGCTGCAGTTTCGGCTCAAGCCCTCCGCCTCTTGGGGTCTGTGGGTTTGGTAACCCTTGAACCCTAAACCCTACACTCTAAGCCCTAAGCCCTAACCCTATTGGGATTTGAAGAAAAGTTTTTGGCTTAAGCCTCGCAGTCGCTTTTGGCTTGCCGGTTGAGATATAAGGGTGTTTCTGAAAATTGCCTTATTTGTGGCCCTTATAATAAGGATCCTAAGTAATATTTAGGATGCTGTATTATTAAGGTCCCCTAGTTTCGGAAACTCCCATAAGTTATAAGGTTGTTTGGGCTCCAGGCCCAAGGCCACTGGAGGTCTTTTTTGGGTCTCAATCTAGGGCCGTCTGATCCTGTTGCCACTTGGAGGTTCATGGGTAGTTATAAGTAGGGTTATAACTAGGGTAACTATACGTGTAAACCTTTCATTCGGGGACTTATAGCCCACTTATAACTACCCCTGAACCTCCAAGCAGGGCCAACTGGATAAAGCGCGATCGCCAAGCTGTCACGATGCCCAACTTAGTCCTGCAACCGATGGGAATCGCTACGCTGAACCCTGCGACCTACTAACCTTCGAGCCCATGAATGCTGAACCCTTAAGCCTGAACATTCCTAAACTCGCTAAGCCCTATAAAAATCGACCTCTAGTGTCCATCGCAGTCCTTTGTTTCGGTTACTTTACAGGAACCTCACTATAAAATTTGACAAACCAACATAAACAGGGAATTACAATTGAGATTCCGGGCTCTAAAGCCCTAACCCAACGACCCAGGATCTGGGTGCCAGGCATCACTGAAGCAGGCATCCATTCCTCGAATCAATGCAAGCCATATAATTACTGTTTTTTCCAAGGCCTGCAATTTGGGCTTGTATGCAGGCCTGCTAGTTGCAAGGGGCTTTCCGTCAAGTCTCAGCTAGTCTATAATAATGGGTGTTGTAACCATGAGGGCTATATCGAGCTTGACAGGGTGATCGGTCCCCAGAGAGCCCAATACCCCTTAATTAAGGAATATACCATTGAATCACAGACAATATGAAGCCCAAACCCTAAACCCTAAACCCATAATTTTAGCCATATTCCTTGATTACGGGGGTATTGGGCTCTCTTGGGTCCTTCATGGGATTTACCTGAACAAACACAAGTCCGAGCTGCTCCAAGGAGGGGTTCGGTTGTCGAAGACTGGGGGTTACTTTAAGGGCCTTACCTAGAGGCTCCATAGTAGTTCCTTTTTGGGCTTCGTGTTTAGAATCCTACAAGGTAATCCCAAAACGGAACCACTTTGGAGCCTTTGGGTAGTAATGAGAATAGGGTTTCGGGGGCAATTATGCTACAATCATAACAAGATTGAGGGTACTTTAAGGGCCTTAATGATTAGAATAGGGTTTTGGGGGCCCAAACAAAAACAAGGAACCCCCCAAAATAGTACACATAGGTATTTATAAAGGCCCCATATATTACATGCTTGAAGGGGTGGCGTGGAATCTGCCTCCTTGGTAGAATCAGAACAACTACAGTGCGAGGAAGTCAAATTTGTCATACTCCTAAACCCTGAACCGAAACCTCAATGCGTTCCAATCCGAAAACGGGCTTAGCAGTCAAGGGCTCAGGTTGCTTGTAACTTATAGACCCTAACCCAAGCGCCAAAACCCTACACCCCACACGCTACACCACAAACCCTAAACCCGTAAACCTGAAATCCCTATACCAGGAACCCTCGACCCCTTATCCCACGCGAAACGAACATCGAGGCTGCAATGGAGCCGAAGAGCCGTCAGCCCTAGGCGGCGGTGGTGCAGGCACCACCTCTTCTTCCTCCTCTGCTGTAGGCTTTAGGCTTTGTCACCCATGGCTTTTAAAGTTTATGGTCCATACTGTGTTAACGATGAATGAAGCGCAGTTTGTGTGTGGGTTTTGTGCTTCAAAACCTTCGTGTGAGCAGATGGTTGAGTGCAAAGCTGGCTGCGCCTGGAGCCGTCTCCAATGATGCATGGAAGCACCCGAGGCCACATCGCAAGGACGGGCTAGTTCCGGCTGCCTAAAATAACTCATGACCGTATCAGTATCCCCTTATAGTCACTACATAGTCATACAAGAATACACCCCAAACACGTACTAAAGCCTCTCCATTAAGGGCCAAGGATCTCGTGTCGGGTGCCTCGAGACGGCTACGGTGCTTCCTCTTTCGAATGAAGCCTGTTTAGGGCTTAGGGGTTAAGGTTTTAGCCCTGGTCATCGAGCCCTGGGCCGTAGACTCTCTTGTACCCGAAGCTTTCCATTCCCCAACCCGTGTGCAGAGTTTGGGCTCATTGTGCATATTCAGGGTTCCGGATCTAAGATTTAGGATCCTCTAAACCGCAAGCCGTACCCAACATTCGGATCTTCGCAATAGAACCCTTGTGTTCCGACCTCAACCGGCTTGCCGCTAGCTTCATCTCCGTCCCACTCGTACCTGTCGGGACATGGGTGGTTGTCAAAATTATGGCCCCTTTGTGGTCCCTAATATAATACGGCACCTAATATTTAGGGTACCCAAAATGGGACCATAAGTTGAAGGAAGGATGTATCAATCAGGCACGGACACGAAGCTTCAAAGCGTCTTGGCGTGGTCATTGGTTGTCAGTTGCTACTTTGCCGATATCTCGCCCACTACAGCCAGCCAGGCGCCAGGGAAATCAGTCAGTAAATCACGTGGCTGCGGCCTTGTGCTTCAGGATTCAGCCCAACCGAAAATGCCAAAGCCCTAACTTAAACCCTCATCCCTAGCCTCTAAGCCCTGAACCAACAAAAACGTTAGGACCCTAAGCCCGAAAACGCCAGAGCCCTAAACCCTCAAATCTTCCAACCCAATATACACTAGACTCTCCTAGGGATCAAAATAGCCCAAAAGCCTTATATAGTATGGTCTTTGTGTCCAGAATATGAGTCTTTAGATCCCTAAGGCTCCAAGCCCTGACCGGGCACTTGTCATCCTCAACTGGTTCTCCACCGACACCTCGACGGTACACTCAACAAAACAAACAAACATCATGTCGGTGAAACTAGTTTGGGTGGTGGTGGTGCCCGCCACCATGATCAAGGTCCCTGGGATGCTGTCATATCAGTACGAGTATCTCCAGGCATCAGGTTCATGCCAGTGGCCTTCATGCTCATCATAATTGTATTGAATCTTGGCGTACGTCTGCCTACGTTGACACATGTTGACACCCTGAGAAATAGCTACACATAGCGCCCCGAGTTCCCCCCCCATATTGCCCATCCCAGGCCCCAATCTAGCCGTGCTGGAAGCCTTCGGGTCAGGATTTTTGGAACGTCGTCGCCCAGATTATGCGCATGCCCTCGTGCGCGTAAGCAAAGATGACAGTCCCCAAACCCCAAACTCTGGGCCGTGATGATGATGATGAATTCACGATGACCTTGTGTTTAAGAACATTGTGGAAGTTCGCGCTCTTGAGAGTGGGATATCGGATGCCTACTGGTTTTCTGGTGTTCACAGTGAAAACCGGCAAATTGGATATGGGGTCGATATACCTGCATGATGTTGCACTGGGTAAGCTGAAGGTGCGGAAAAAAGGGGCAAGCTTTCGTGACCCGGAACCCTATAAACCCTGCACGGCCTGAATCTTCAACCCCGAACCCTATAAACCCTATAAGCCCCATAAGCCCCCACAACCCTAAAGCGCCCTAAACCCCCAAACCCTAAACACCCTAACGTCCTAAAGCCTTAAGGAACCTCTGGCTTATCACGCTCTCTTGGATCTAAGCCCAGGACAGCTGACGAGTCGAGCCCCCTGCAGCTGAGAAGTCTTGCCTCACTAGCCAGAGTTCAGGACTTAGGATTTCAGGATTTAAGTTCAGGGATGTCAGACTTAAGTTTACGGCTGAGTCGGTACCAACGAATTTCAGGTCAAAGACTCGACCTTCACGAAGACTCGGGCTTCGTGGTGCGGAAGTGGCCCTTCGCTGTGCTACCTTCCTAGCAGAGCAACATGCACTCGCTCCCGGGACGCTAACATTGATTTTTCTTCTACTTCTACTGCTACTACTACTTCTACTGGTACTGCTACTGCTACTGCTACTACTGCTACTACTGCTACTGCTACTGCTACTACTACTTCTACTACTACTACTACTACTACTACTACTACTACTACTACTACGACTACTGCTACTTCTGCCGCTACTACTACTGCTACTGCTACTGCTAAGTACTACTCATTATAATCATAATGGCAACTAGCGCTGATGTTCAAGTCAGGACCCCTGAAGAAAGGAGCGCCGATATCTCGATTCAGGTCCTCAAGCCCGAAGACCCTAAACCCTAAAGCCGCAATTTCAAGCCGCTTAACCTCAAACCCCCTCAACCTTAATTGAGCCTAAACCCCTCGTCACTAAACCCTAAGTTCTAAACTAAACCCAAACCCTAGATAAGCCTCCGAGATCCAGGCTCACCGGATAGAGCACCGCTGGCGCCTGGGGTGCCTCTGGCGCTGTCTCCTTGGCCTCCTGGGCCATGCGCTCCTGGCTTGCGATTCAGAAGGATTCTTCCATTTTTTGTTGAAGGTTCTTAGGGTTTTATTGGGTTTTTGAATGCATCACGCGGGTTTTGAGGGCTTCATACAGGCTGTGTGACGGTTTGATGCGGGTCTCATCGCTCTTGTGTTTGAAGCTGCGCTTCTCGCTCTAGGGCTGGATTGCTTCTCGGGTTTTGGGTTAGGGTTTATATGGTTTTTGAGGCTGTCAAGCCATGTCCTTTGAAACCCCAAACCTGTTTTTGGAGGGGTATGGACTCGTTGAGCACAACGGTTGGGGTTCCGGTAAATCCGAAACCTTAAACAGTGACGGGTATGGCTTCGGATAACATTGTCCGATGATGCTCCACTGCAGTGGGAACGTGCAACAGGATCCCCAAATAGTGCACTGTCCAGCACCAGGGATTCGGTCCTTCTCTGCTTGCTTGGCTGCTTTTCTTTTGGCCTGGAGGAAGATCACATCTCTGAATCTGCAGGCCAAAAGTTACTGCTATCCGTCTTCGCCCATCCTCTGCACTCTGCGCAACTCTACGGGAAGATGCAACCCACCTAAATCCTAAATACCTTAAACACCGTGGCCCCAAATCCCAAACCCTTAACTGAGTGATGAATCTCGCCGTAGGGCACCAACGCCAAGCCATGCTTTGCCCCAGTGACCGAGAAAGTCATTGCGTACTTGGACGTTCATGGGTAGTTATAAATAGGGTTATAACTAGGGTAGATATACTTATAACCCTAATTAGGGACTTATAGCCCCACTTATATAACTACCCATGAACCCCCAAGCACCCGCGAACCCACACTAGCAAAGTTTGCGGTTGTTTTGTCGCCTTGTGTACAGGAAACTAGACTGTTCTTCGATGGACACATACAAGAGTAGAGACGCTCCAGCCCTATGCCCCATACCCTACATTGCCCTACATCCCAAGCCCTGACCCTAAACCAAAAGTCCTAAAACCTATAAGTTAGAAGCTGCCCCCACCGTGTCCTAGTGACTATAAGAGTTATATTGGGCCCTATTATATTCCTATTATCCACTATTACAGGGTGGGGGCCCCTTCTAACCTATAAGGCAGCTCGACAGGCACCCTCTGCTCTCTGCTGGTCGGCACCTTTCTTGCTGCTTTCTCAAGGCGACCTTGCGCAAACCATGGCGTCTTTGCAGGTTCGGGCCCTTTAGAAGGATATGAGGCCTGGGGTTCAGGGTTTGAGTTTAAGGTTTAGGGCTGCTCCCATCGGAAACCCAAGTCCTAAACTCAAGAACCAGAAGCTTTCACAAGATGCTCTGCGGGTTGAGCTTGCAAGCTGTCCTAAGGGGTGCTTAGAATTAATTTTAAATTTTGGTTATTATAATCCCAAAGAAACAGCTAAACTTCTAATTTTTGCTAGGGTTCTAAGATCAGTATAGTGTCGGGTCCAGGCTCGACTGATGACTCAGAGCCTCGAAGGAATTGACCTCAACCACCGGCCCGAAGGCAGGACCCGACTTTCGCAAGCAATTCGTCAAGAACGTAAAGCCTACCCGGCTCCCCATACTCAAAAAAAACACATAAAGCGCACACACGCACATGCACACACACACACAGAGCACAGAGACGCACCTCGAGTGTGCCCGTATGCGCTCAGATGCTGTGCAGCAGAAGCTAACCGTGCCAGCGGAACACTGCTCCGCTTCGGCTTCCTCCGCCCTGGCCTTGCGACAACAAGTATGTGAGGGATCTGGCATTGAAGTCGCTGCTGTGGAAGATGTGATGTTCGCAGGGTTTCCACGGGGCTGGTACATATAGGGTTTGGAGTTTACTAAGTCAAAAGGCTCAAGGCTTAATCACGGCTTCTTAGCTATTCCGAGGTGGCTCCTGGGATGTCTTCTCCGTCCGCTACTGGAGCATTGAATCGGCAGCAGCCTCTGTTTTGGGTTTGGGTCGTTTCGGCTGTCCGCATAACCAAGGACTTTGTTCGGGGCCTCTGCGGAGCTTCAGTCAGGTTGCGTTTGCGACCCCAGAAGCGTCCCTTCAGCTACGAAACGGTAAGTTCAGTCTAGTAGTGGCCGTGATCGGAAGCCCGAATCCTGGAATGTCGGAAGCCCAAATCCTGGAATGCATGATCGTGCCAGGGTTTGTATCAAGCAAGTTAGGGATTCCGCTCTGCGGCATTCAGTAAACAGACTGAATCCTGTACCCTGGACCGACGGACAGCATGGAGCTGGAAAGCCTCAGCCACCCTTAACCCCTTAACCCAGAAAAACCCTAAACCCTCAAAACCCTCAGAACCCTCAAAACCCCCGAAACCCCTAAACCCTCAAAAGCCCTAAACCCTCAGACCAACACCCTGAAACTCCAAACTGCCTACTCCCTCTGCACCTTTGCATCGGCAGCCACGACTTCCGCGTCTCGGCGCTGATCCTGCTAACTTCGCAAGAAAAAACATGCTTTTTGGTATAAAGAGACTTCGGGATCTTTAGCATTCCAGTATATTATGAGTTAGTATCTCGTTATGTGTTGTCACTCCTCGTAGCTCGTATATATATATATATATGTATACGCATAATATGTCTATAACATACATATATATATATATATATGTTTTCGAATTCTGTCGTATGCTCTCCCACCCACCACAAGGTTCAGATTAGAGACCCCAAGATATTTTCGGGCCGGAGGTTTTTAGGATGAGGTCCTCCGTGAACCAAACCCAACAGGGTTTCGGGTATAGGGTTTACCAGGACCCCCCAAGTACCCTTTAATAAAGCCCTTATGGTCCTTCTTCGTGGGTATTTAGGGTATGTTAGAGGGTAGTTGGGGGGTCCAGGTAGGGTTCAAGGTTCAGGGTTTCCGGTATAGGGTTTAGGGTTTCGGGTAAGGGGTTTAGGGTATACTGTAGGGTTTCAGGTATAAGGTTTAGGGTTTCGGGTATATGGTTCGGGGTTTCGGGTAAAGGGCTTAGGGTTTAGGGTTTCGGGTATAGGGTTCGGTTGCCACACCCCCCCACCCCATGGTATCCTCCCCCCTTCCCCCCCGCCCCCCCTGTGGTGTGGGGCCTGTGGTGGTACTCTTTTTGCCGCGACGTTCTCATGTGTTACTCCTTGTCTTCCCTCTTGCTGTGGCACCGGTGATGCTCATGATGTTGTGCTGCTCTAGACCGGGGCATGAGTCGACAATCAGACCATGCTCAACATCATCCTTGTCGTCGTCATCTTCATCATTAATACCTTCTTCGAATATCTGCCACCATCACCATCGCCATACAACCCTCATAATTCAGCATTGCCATTCATGTCAGATGCTGGAAACTACTGAGCCGATTGCCGCTTTCCGCACACGGCAGGGCATAGTGCGACACTCCCGATCCGTGCACAAGGCCCAGGGGCGGGCAAGGTGCGGGCCGGGGCGCAGGGCGGGTGGGCGTGCAGCAGCAGGCCAGCAGGGGGGGTGGGGGTATACCATTGGGGGGGGGGTGAGGTGGCGGCCCGGGACCCGAGAGCATATATACAGGCTTTACGGTTCAGCGTTTCGGACGTTCAACCCCTAAACAAGTAGGCTTCATGATTGCCCGAAACTCCCTAAAGGTTAAACACTTAACCGCACACCCTTCAGCACCGCTATAATCCTTCAGGCTTCTACATGAAGGTCAAGCTTAGGACAAGGCCCTCCCTAGCCGTTCTGTCTCGTAATGCATACTACTAAAAGTTGTGCATGCTGCCTCGAGTGCTCTTTGAAGCAGTCTGTTTGCAACCACCTTGCCGTCCGCAATTCTAGTCAGAGAGTGCATTCCATCTCGCGGTCTAAGTGCTGCATCGTGCGGATAGGCGGGTCACTTGTGACTTCTGTCGGGTGTCACCTGTGACTTCTCGAGAGGCGAATCGCTTGTGACTTTTGTCTGGTGTCACCTGTGACTTCTCTAGCCAGCGAGTTTGCAGCACCTCTCAGCAAAAATGCATGAGATCACTTGTGAATTCTCTGGCTTCGGATCGGGTTTGAACCTTGCATCTTCGACTTTCTCGCAATGGTTCGCAGTTTGGGGTTAGGGTTCAGGGTTTACGGTCATGAGGTTGGGGTCTAGCCTCGGGGTTCAGGGTTTAGGGTTCACGGTTTGGGGTTTACGGTTTCAAGGCTTAGGTTTAGGGCAACGGGCCCGAGTTTTCGATGAAAAAAATGCATGAATATTTTCCCTCGAAACTGCTCCGGTTCCTGAGATTGAAGCATCAGGGTTTGAGGTAGTTCAGGGTGCTTGACGGCTTCGGGTGTTCAGGGTTGATTCGCCCGTTTAGGTTTAGGCTTGGGGTTTACGGTTTGGGTTTGGGGTTTGAGGTTCGGTTTTCGGGTTTAGGGTTTAGGGTTTGGGGTGCAGGGTTTAGGTTTTGGGGTTCAGCATGTAGGGTTTAGGGTTAAGGGGTTAAGGGTTTAGGGATTAGGGTTTAGAGTTTAGGGTGTAGGGTCCAGGGTCTAGAAATTAAGGGTTTAAGGTTTCGGGTTCAGGGATTAGGGTTTGGGATTTAGGGTTTAGGATCGAGGGTTTAGGGTTGAGGGTTTAGGGTAAAAGGTTCAGGGTTTAGGGTTTAGGCTTGAAGGTTTAGGGTTCAGGATTGGATTGAAGGTTCAGGGTTGAGGGTTTAGGGTTTGGTTTAGGGTGTAGGATTTAGGGTTTAAAGTGTAGAGATAAGGGTTTTGGGTTTAGGGTTCGGGGTTTAGTTTAGGGTTTGGGAGCTCAGAACCATCAATCGCCAGCCAGAAATGCCGGGACCGAAATGCTGCCATGTGCACCTTGCATCCCAAACCTATCGTGAATCTTCAGCCTCATAAACGCCCATATCCTCCGATGCAGGATCTTCTAAGAAGGAAAAAGTGACACAGAAAAAAACTGGAACTGAGAGTCAGGTACAACGGGAAATCTGCGCCCTGAAACACGGCGCAAGCATGCCGTGGAGGTAAGCGGCGATAGCACATCCCATCACAATCCTTGTAATACTATACCGTCATCTACACGCAATGGAAGCGTCTTAACACTATCCAACTAGTATCCGGTGCGCCTCAAGGTCCTTCCACTGCTGGATCTCTGCGTCCTTCTGATCTAAAGCATCTTCCTGGCATGATTTGAGTCTTATGGGTTTAGGGCTTAAATATTCCCTCCTTACAACGATATTAAATAAAGGGCCTTGAGAATTGCAATAAGGTGTGGGGCGCCGAAAAATGATCGTATTGCCAAGGCTCCGAAATCAAACCCTAAACCCTACATAAAGCCCTGGACCCTAAACGTTTAATCCCGACCTCTAAAATCCTAGGGAGGAGGATTTTGATTCAGGGCATTGTTGGAGCCGTGAATCAAACCACGCTTTTGGAAGAGAACGTGTGGGAACCTATCCAACAACAGGTTCCCGCAGCGTCCCCTTCTGAAATCTTGAGGCCCCTAAACCCTGAGCCGCTATGTAAACCATGTTCGGCTCTCTGAAAGTCGAGGGTGCTTCCTTAGAGATGTCGACCGTATAAAGACCTAAACCCCAGTACCGAAATCCGCACCTGCAGCCCCGAAGCCCTTAACCTTGACGCTGATTCCGAACATGAACCTCCTACGTAGAGCTCTCGACACTAGTTCCTGTAGAACTAGAAAGCAACTGAGCATGGCCGGCGATGCTGGCAAGCAAATCTTGCGCACGGGTGAGCTCTTCGTTCACCTCGCGGTGCACTTATGCGTACTGCTTATTGGATTCGTCACAGAGGCTTTCCGGGCTTAGGGCAGTTTAATCCCTGCTGTTTGCTCCTTTAGGGTTTACGGTTTGTGGACCCCGAAGCATTTAAAGGCGGAGCT